TTGAGGAATCAACCTCTGCTCCTTTTCCTTCTGTCTCATCATTTTGAGTGGATATTTCCTAATGATGTTTCCCGCAGTCTTATTTTTACTTACACTGCGACATTCTACAAGTCCGTCTGGTCTCTTTTGCTGATCAGATGAGCTTGCAGAATGCAGCAATGTAATCTTAGTGCGTGTTGATGGACCACCAATCCATAATTTTCAGAAAACATAGCGTGGGTTGGTGGACTGACTCGATGCTTGCTTAATTAGTGTCGGGCAGAATTGCTATCACTTTATTCATGTCAGAGGACCTCTCCGGCATCTTCTGATTTGTCCTTATGTATTACACATTTAATATTTAAGGGCATGCTGATCATCTTGAAACGCTGTCGTCTGACTCGAACTGGTTTCTTCTTCTAGCTGAAGCTGACTTGCGTAAGTTGAGTCATGCTTTGAAGTTACTTTCCGATACTGAGAAGCAATTGAGGATGTCAAAGAATCAAACAACCTGGCTCACAGTGGCGCTGCTACAACTAAGTTCTGCAGATTCTTCCTCTTTGGATGAACGTGCTTTGAAATGTTGTCCACGGAACATGGAGAAGGGTGAGTGGCTTAGTTCAGTCACAGCTTTGTAACAGCAGTCTTTATTGATATAAGTTGGAGCAAGTTTTTAATAAGGTCAACGTAGTTAATTCATTTGAGACTAATTATTGTTCAGATATAGATGGGGACTGTTGCAGCAGACCCTCTACAGAAGAGAGCAAGAATCATTTCTCCCGTTGTTCATGTGATTGCGGCGGATTGTGTATAGTGGATGCACAGGTAAACTACAGGGAAAGGTTGGATTCTATCTGGAAAAGGGCTACGGAACTATGTCAGTCAAAGGCTTTGAAGAATTTTCTGATGAAACGCGGAAGTATGTCCTCTCTTCGCTTGGATCAAGGTACACATGCTTCCTATCTTTGATAGAGTCAAGTATGGGGGTCAATTCAACAGTGCTGTGAGAGAAATTGGTAATAGGCATTCTGAAACTAATATCTCTTGATCTGATAAGCTGTCATTGAGAAACTTCTGCTTATATATATACTTGACTCAAGATGCCTTTATTCTGATCTAGTGTGCTTGACCCCGGCATGATTGTGCCTTAAGCTACTATATGAGCCCTCTGTTGGTGCATTTATTAACAGGACGCAGATAGAGCCATTGCTGACATAATCAAAATGATCCACTGATGGCATTATTCAAATGGTGACTAAAACCAAATGGTTACCATCGAATGACACCTCTTATGTCATTATTTGTGGAAATATTTGCAGTTTTTTTGTTTTGGGTGATCTGTGTTGTGTTTAACTTGCCTTTGTTGCTTAAATTCTTTTCAATAATCAATCTGCATGCCGCTTTACGTCATCTTGCTAATTTGCTATTAGATGTCTACCATAACACAGTAATTTGTGGCAATGCATCTTTGGTTGCCTCCAGCTTGAGCTCATGCGAATCCAAGCTCTGAACTCTTCTGGATCATTTTATTGTTTTACTTTTCTTTTATCAATCTGTATTAGGTTTGTAATTTCACTGTAATCTGTGATCACTGGACATGTTTGACATCTCAGGTATTGCAGTTGCTAATTTGGACTTCAGTCATCCTGACTATGTGACAAGGGCTGAGAAGTCATGGAAACTGATTGCCAGTTCGCTTCAGTCCATCCTTGGCTGTAATGTAGAGATCAGAATCAATTATGTACCTTGCGCAGCGGAATCTAAGCATGTAAAAGTGAAAAGGCCATCTTTTAGTTTCTTCAGCTGCTCCCGCAGAATGCTGCAGAAAACACGGTCAATTGTTGAACAAGGAAGCGATTCTGATTATTCTGACTATACCTTTGATAAGTACACGACCAAGGCAAAAGCAAATCTGGCCTGCCCTTCTGATTGTAGATCTCAAATGCCGCATATAGGCGATCACCGAATCGGAGCAGTAAGCACTATAAGAAATGCCGATGGAAATGTTCTAAGTGTTGGTACAGACATGTCACAGAGGTCATCCCACGACCTGGAGGGCCATCTGCCTGATCCAGAGTCTGATTGTTCAGGAAGAGAGGCGATCTGCTGTAGACACCATGTAATCTCCAGCCGAGAGCCAGAAGTTCAGTCAAACTGTTTCCCCCGTGTTATGAAGGGTCAGAAGATGTCAAACATGCCTGACACTTCGCAGATGATCTGCCAGGATATGCCAGAGGAGAAGAAGCTTGCTTCGTCCTGCCCTGGGAAAATGGCCGCAGAGACAGTAAGCTTTGCGGACGAACGATATCTTTTCTGCAGTAGCGAAGCTTATACGAGCGTTTCCAGGGATGCTGATAAGTGAGTGGCTTTGCTTTCTTTTTTTCTGTGGCTATTGCAGATCTTTGTAGATACATCTTAGGATGGTTGTTCACCGGAATTTGCTGATTGCTTTGGCCAATGCTTTTTCTGCCATAACATTAAAGTAAATGTGTGTCCAGTAATGACATGCATTAGATGTAAAAGTGGAATGGTTGTTGAGATGATTCTGTAGTGTGTATGGTCGACTGCTTTGTTTATGTTCACGGAAAATGACACTATTTATCTCCACATGCTCTTGTATGTTTACTGCTGAATCTCTGTTTTTGCAGAACGAGGGAAAGTCCGGATATTCTTTGTTGGCAGACCCCAATATTGCCAATTAGGAAGGTAAGCCCCGAGAAGCTCTGCAACACTTTTTTTTTGCGGTGGATAGAAAATGTAAACTTGGTACGATGGGTTGATTGTCCTGTTAATGTTCTATTTCACGTGTCTCTGTGCTTGTTGGCCTATGCTCATGCTTTTTCCTCATTTGGAATCATCTCCCTAAACAATTCGACTATGTGCTTGCTCTCTGTCGCTAGACTCATCACTGCTCGACATATCTTTGATGTAAAGAGGGAGGACCTCTTCGTCGATGCCCCTCACTTTTTGGATGAAGCCTCCTCCGACACTGACCAAATATTTATTTACCTAGCTACAGTCTTGTAGGAGTTGTTTTCAGTTTTGGCCTTGATCGGAACAAACCGTGCGAATGTTGCAGGCATGCGAAAGGAGGCACGACAGACAACGCGGTCACTTTGTCGAGTGGGTGCTTCCCTGCGGCGGCGGCGCCAAGTAGTTCTGCTGTACGGAGATCGGCGAAAGAACCGATACCCGTCGGAGAACATCGATAGCCCGAGACATGCCCGATTTCTCTGAAGCACACAAGGCCAAATCGCTCTTCTTTTGGTATAACCTGAAGCCAAATGGCAGTTTTCTTTTACTCTGTATGGAAGGTCAACTGCATATGTTTTGTACCCTCATTTTGTCCACTGGCTTCTCTGAACTGCTATAAAGCCAAACTGGGTCGGTGAGAAGAGAAGGATCTTGGGCTTTCTCTTCCTGCTTGCCACCTGCATTGCAACACGAGACTTATGTTCTACATATGCATTGGGCCTTCCAGCAATCTTTGCAAGGAAAAAGAAGCTTCTGAATTTTCGCAGCCCATTTCCTCGGACCAAACGCATACGATGAATCGATGATTGATGATCCGATCCGGGTCCAACTTGCAATCACTCGTCGCCCCTCGCGTGCTCCAAAATCATTTCTTTAAAGGGTAAAATCTTGCCCGACACTCGTCGATCACTCGAGCGCGAACTTCGTCAATCCGCGACGCCGCCCCCCCAAATTCCTCACTCTTTTTTCTTTTTGGGGGGGGACCGCCGCACGTCAATCTGATCTGACCTCCTTATCATCATCAACAAGAGACCAAGAATCGAACCCGCTTGTTCTCTCGTGTCTATTTCCCAAGCGCAAGGAATCCGTAGATATAAAAAAAAAAGGGGGGGATTTTTATTATTCCCCAATAACATCATCCAAAAGATAATTATTAAATTTATCTTGCCACGCATGCGTATCAATCCATATATTCCTTGGCCGACCTACGAAGTAGACACCATACCAAAACCGAAAAAGGGATAATGACAAAAGGTACTCGAACTTTAGCTCCATATCTAACGTGATTCGTGAACTTTTAATATGTTCAATGTAATTCATAAATTTTAACTTAATATTTGATGTGATCTCTAAACTTTTAATCTGTTCGGTGTGATTCCTAGACATTTGGTACATATTCAATATAGTTCTTATGTTCATATAATTTAGGGATCAAATTAAGTTCAGGGATCACATTGCATATCGAATTAAAGTTTATGGATCACATTGAACAAATTAAAAATTCGGAACTGTTTATGTTATTTTTCAATTAAAAAAAAAAACCGTAACTAGACGCCCAAGAAAAACCCGGAAAATAGAAGGGGGGGGAAAGGGAAAAATCCGGAAAAGCGAGCGAGGAGACTGCAGAGAGCAACGATCTAGTGGCATTTCGGTAAAAACGGAGGGGGGCCCGGGGAGGGGGAGGAAACCCTAGAAGCGGCTGAGGAGGGGGGGCGCCAGGTGGCGGCACCGGCCGCGGGGCCTCTCCTCGGCTAAAACGATACGACCGGGGCTTCCCCAAAAGGGGCGGTGCCACGTGGGGACACGGAGGAACCTCCGCCGATGACGTGTGCTCGTAACCGCAGCGGTAGCCTCCGTATATAAACCCCCCGCCCCTCGCTCCGCCACTCCCCCCTTGTCTCTCTCTCTCTCTCTCTTCCCTGTGCTTCTCCATTTCTCGCTGCGTCCTCATCCATGTCCCTCTCATCCGCACCCTTCCTCGTGTTCAACTGATCGAGACGCGGACCGCCCACGCGAGCGAGCGAGAGAAAAAGACGGAAGCAAACAAAAGTAGTGGGGGGGAAAAAGAAGGAGGAACCGTTTGGATCCCCACGGTTTTCGTCGGGGCGGGCGGCGGCGGCGGCGGACGTGGTTTTTGATCTAGGGTTTGCTTTGCGTGTCCGATTTCGCTGCGGCGGCCGAGGGGGTGGGAAAAGCGCGCCCGCCCGGGGGCTCGTGCGCCTCTCGCGTTCACCTGCGACTTCGCTCGCTCGCTCGCTCTCTCGCTCTCTCCCTCTGTTTGTCTGTGTGCGTGCTGGATCGGAGATCCAATCTCCGCGCGCGCGCGCTGCCTCTCTCTGTCTTGTGGCTCGAGATTCGTCCGGGCCAAGCACGGAAGCATCGGGCACGTCTAGCTGCTGCTGCTGCTGCAATCTGTTCAGGTCCTTCTATCGAATCTCGCTCGCCGCCTTTGATTTCTCTTTTTCCTCGTTTGTTCGTGCTTTCGTTCTGGTATTTCCGTCTCGCGGTGCTATTTTTGGCTCAAATGCTGTCGACGATCGCGGCTCGTGGCTCAGATTCGAAGAGCGGCCGCTCCTTCGTTCGTTGTGCTTTGTCCCCCCTGTATCGACGCTTAGATTCGGTTTTTTTTCTGAATGCGCGCGAGGCCCGCGGTCGCGCGTGCTTTGTTCGTGAATCTGAGTGTGGATTGGTCGTAGGTGGCGACGAGTTAAGGTGTCGATGTGTGGTTTGTTTTTTATCGTCGTTTCTTGTTGTTTAGGAGCGGGGGCGCTGCGTGTAGATGGCGTCGAATGAGGGGTTCCTGACGGACCAGCAGAGGGAGACGCTTAAATTAGCGACCCAGAACGCGGAGATTCTGTCCTCCTCTCCCAAGTCGCCCAAGACTCTCCTCTCCGAACACCCGTTGAAGGTTCCCGCCGCCGGCAAGGCGCCCACGGCTGGAATCGCCGTGAGGCACGTGCGGAGGTCGCACTCCGGGAAGTTCATACGAGTCAAGAAAGGTAAAATTTGGCGCATTTTGATTGTGCCCTCGAGTAATGTTTCCGTCAAAGGGTTCAGTGCGCCGGTTCCGTTTGTCTATGTAGTCGAAGTCGATCTGATCATTAGAACTCCCATTAAGTCGTCATTATCCTCTCCGTAAGAGTTTATTTCCGTTCCCTGCCTGAGACTTATTAGGTGATCTTTTGCGAAGTGCGGCAGTTAACTTATCAGTTGATCTTTTCTGTCTGTGAACTATATATAATAGATGATCAATGGAACTCATAGCCATTATTCCTCTTTTCGTATATTTTTGTATCGTGGATTTTAAAAAAATTGCATAGCCAAAAGTATGATTTAGTTTTGGAACCGTCGGAGTTGTAGTTTTGGTCACGATCCTGTTTGTGGCTGCAGTGGGGTTGATTAGGAGGCCTTTGATTTAAAATCTCTTACAACTTGAGTTGGGCCTTTTTGTTTGGACTGAATGTGTGAGTAGCTCTGGTGTTTTTCTATTTCCAGTGACTCTACTGCAGCAACCCTAAGAGTTGCATTTGGAAATCTGCTTATTAGAGTTGGAATGAACTCAGGTCCTGCCACTTAATTGCTTGGGGCCATAGGCTTGTCACGATTATATCTTTTTTCCGCGCATTTATTGAACGTGTATCTATCTTTCTAAGTTATGTGATTATGCTACAAAGGAGAGTAGTTCAATTTAGGTTAGTTGTCTGGCTGTAGCTGTTTATAATTTACTGTTTAGGGTTTGAAACTTCTGATTGAGCAATCTTTTCTTTTTTGTGTGTATGTGCTATTACTTGTATATTGGAAACAGATGGAGGTGGTGGTAAGGGAACTTGGGGGAAATTGCTTGACACCGATGGTGGATCACATATTGATAGAAATGATCCCAACTATGACAGTGGTGAGGTAATGCCTGTGTTCAACCATTAATTGGCATTTATCACTCCTCTATCTGTGGGCCGGAGGTTAGCTCTTTTATTGACAAGTACTTGGTGACAAGTGTTGATTGTGTTGCTTCTACTATTTGTTTCTACAGGAGCCTTATCAGCTCGTTGGTTCAACAGTCTCAGACCCTTTGGATGAATACAAGAAAACTGTTGTTTCTTTGGTAGAGGAATACTTTAGCACTGGTGATGTGGACGTGGCATCGTCTGATCTCAGGGAACTGGGCTCGAGTGAATATCACCCATACTTCATCAAGCGGCTAGTTTCGATGGCCATGGATCGCCATGATAAGCAGAAAGAAATGGCCTCGGTTCTGCTCTCTGCCTTGTATGCTGATGTCATCAGCCCACCACAAATTAGAGATGGGTTTGTCTTGCTTCTTGAGTCGGCTGACGATCTCTCTGTTGATATATTGGATGCTGTTGATGTGCTCGCATTGTTCCTGGCACGGGCTGTAGTTGACGAGATTCTCCCCCCAGCGTTCCTCACCAGGGCTAAGAAAACACTGCCCGAATCCTCTAAAGGTTTCCAGGTTATTCAGACTGCTGAAAAGAGTTATCTCTCAGCCCCGCACCATGCAGAACTTTTGGAGAGGAGATGGGGTGGTAGCACACACATAACTGTTGAAGAGGTGAAAAAGAAGATAGATGATCTACTAAGGGAGTATGTGGAGACTGGAGATGCTTTTGAGGCATGCAGGTGCATTAGGGAGTTGGGTGTTGCATTTTTCCATCACGAGGTGGTGAAAAGGGCTTTGGTTCTTGCAATAGAGACACGAGCAACAGAACCCTTGATAATGAAGTTGCTGAAGGAAGCTGCTGAGGAAGGCTTAATAAGTACCAGTCAAATGGCTAAGGGGTTTGCCCGTTTGGCTGAGAGCCTCGACGACCTTGCTCTTGACGTTCCATCTGCAAAGTCCCTGTTTCAGTCACTGGTTCCCAAGGCTATCTCTGAAGGATGCCTTGATGCTTCATTTTCAAAGTCATCAGATAATGGAGACGTACAAATGGAAGATGAAAAGTTAAGGCGCTATAAGAAGGAAGTTGTAACTATAATTCATGAATATTTTCTCTCTGATGACATTCCTGAGCTCATTCGGAGCCTGGAAGATCTTGGAGCACCTGATTTTAACCCTGTATTTTTGAAGAAGCTCATCACCCTTGCTATGGACAGGAAGAACAGAGAGAAAGAGATGGCATCTATCCTGCTGTCTGCCCTCCATATTGAGATTTTTTCAACTGAGGACATTGCAAATGGTTTTGTGCTGCTTTTGGAATCGGCAGAGGACACGGCTCTCGACATTCTAGATGCTTCAAATGAGCTTGCTTTATTTTTGGCTAGGGCTGTTATTGATGATGTGTTGGCCCCGCTGAATCTAGAAGAAATTGGAAGCAGGTTGCCTCCTAATTGCAGTGGGAGTGAAACCGTGCGTGTGGCTCGATCGCTCATTGCTGCCCGTCATGCTGGGGAGAGGATTCTTAGGTGCTGGGGAGGTGGAACCGGGTGGGCTGTTGAGGATGCGAAGGACAAAATTCAAAAGCTTCTGGAGGAATACGAGAGTGGTGGGGTGGTGACCGAGGCTTGCCAGTGCATACGTGATCTGGGAATGCCCTTCTTCAACCACGAAGTCGTGAAGAAGGCATTGGTAATGGCGATGGAGAAGAAGAACGACAGGATGCTGGATCTGCTACAAGAATGTTACAGCGAGGGGCTCATCACCATCAATCAGATGACAAAAGGTTTCACCCGGATTAAGGATGGAATGGATGATTTGGCTCTTGACATCCCGAATGCAAAAGAGAAGTTCCATTTCTATGTGGAGTATGCTAATCGGAAGGGGTGGCTCCCATCTTCATTCGAGTCATCCTTATTGCCCGCTCCAGTCGCGGCTACTTGAGAGGGAAACATGTATTTCTGTCTTCTCGAGTACGTTGTAGCCTGTCACGTTATGTAACGAATTGTGCACTTTCAAGTGCTTCAGAAGCCTGATTAGATGGGGGATGTTTTGAGTTCATCTGGACGCCTTTTTTTCCCTATTTCCTTGTAGTTTCCCGATGGAGATCAGCTGATGTATAAAGTTAGTTGCTTATCCAGCTTTAGGCTCATGGTGCATCATATTTGTCGCATGCAGTATGACACTAAGATTAAGAATTCTTTGATGCCATTCAGCTCGTTTTTTGGTATTGTTCCTTGTCCCTTTTTTTAATTTTTGGGGTACTGCGAGACTGTAAGTTATTTCCACAAAAGAATGCGTTACCAAGAATGGCTTAATTTCCCCTATGCTATTTGGTCAGTTGCCGTCTTGGATGGGCAGTCTTAGATGTGAGAGGAAGCGGCACCTTTCATGTTTCTGATCACGGTGAACGTGCACTAGTCTCTTTCAGTTGACAAGTTTCTGCACGGCTGTCCGACGGTGGATGCGACTCTCCGCATCAACGCGGTTGTGCGCGTGATGGTGGCTTCAAAGGTTACGTTATCCGTGCTAGCATCGTTCCTGGGCTGGGATAAGGTTGGGTGATTGGCCAAATCAAGCGTCTCTTCAGCCACATCCAATTGTTTTTGTCACCGTCTGCGAGTAGTGTCATCTCCGAGGGCTTGATTAGATAGACTGCGCAATCAGTTCGACTAGTTACTGGGGCGAGCGTATTGAGGTGGCCTTGCGTGATGGACGGGCTGATGAGCAGACCTCCACTACTAAGACTACGGTCCGCTTTAAACACGCCACGCCGTTGTTTTTAGTCGTTGCCAATTTGCCATGACCAAAGCAGCTGTCCTACATTATAAATGCTAGATATTTTCAAACGCGTATGAACAATTGGCCTAGATAATATGGGACACTGCTGCAGTCAGTCCATCATATTTAACAATAAATAGAAGGCTTCCGAATCGTCAGAAACGTCAATTTTATGATCAGTGTTGATCTTTCTAACATTACTCAATAGTGAAATGGGAGCTTGCTTGTTCATAACAGGATGCCTTGATAGCCACTTAAAATCTCCGCCTGCCCCCGTAATATAAGGATGTCCTCGCCCATACATCCGTCGTAATCACTGGGAATGCATTATAAGCAATTAGCTCAGACATTAACAGTGGAGCCAACCTCGTTACACCGATAGAAGCACATCAACATATTCAGAACGGTGGAGTCCTGCAGTTTTAATTATTCATATCTTTTGGAATCGAACATATTGTGGGGCGATCACCGAAGGGCGATAAAAATTGAAGTCCCTTCGAGGACTTCTCTTCTGTGCTTCGTTTTAGGTTTATAACTCTACCATCATGGATCTCGAGAATATATTCAAGAGTATATAAAAGAAAATTGAAAGAATTGGCCAGAGGACCGAGAAGCAAGTTTGACTAGCTAACATACTGCTTCTCAAGAAGGCTTCCACAGAATGTAAGATCGAAGCGCTCCTCTGGAGGATCTCCGATGCAATCGAAGACCGCATCAGCATTTACAAAGTCCTCCTCAGCTGTGTAACTGAAACCAATTGAAGTTCGAGTCAAATTAGTGATAAAGGAAAGTATGGGTTAAAGAGCGCCTGCTAGGCGGTGAAGTAATGTAGTTACCCGCTCTTTGTCACGATGCATTTCATTCCAGCGGATTTGGCTGCTGCGAGGCCTATGGCGCTGTCCTCAACCACAACACAACTGCCGAACTCCAACATTACACAATATATATCACAGTACCATGAGATGAATCTAATACAGTCGACAAAACATATTTTAACTGAACGAGATAAAAGATGGATAAGGGCATTAAAGGAAGTTGCTGGCAGTATGCGCTTGACCTCATAGTTTAAAAGAGACTGAGCGAATGGTAGGTATATTACCTTGAAGGATCAACACTCAAGGTGCTGGCAGCCAACAGATAGATGGCCTGCCGAAGAAATAAAATCGATGAGTGACCAAGGACATGCATACAATAAACAAATAATTGGGCAAGGAAAAATTGACTACACAAAGATAAATATGGTTAGCAGTACATCAACTGATAAATCTGAACTTTTTGGTGAAGGATGAATCTTATTTCCAGGATTACTGACTAATTAAAACTAATTTCGACAATTTGATACTCGGCAAGTCTCTGATCAGTTAGTACAATGATGAGAAAATAGGACTATAATCAGATTATCTCATGAAGCACTACACTGTACATAACACCTTCATATAGATTAAGCAAACAAGACGTTACAGGATCTGGCTTTTTACGCGGAACCACGTCTCCAGCAAATATCTTGATTTTTTCTGCGCTTTCTGGCCCAAGCAAGCACGAAACTATTGCAGAGACCTGAAACCATTGCATGACTTAGAGTCCACAAGAGAACTTGACTTGAAAATCAATACCATCGCATAAATTAAATCAATAAACTGCAGCTTTACCCACAAAAGAAGCCAAATTTGAAGTCAAACCCTCTTTCATAGAGGAAAGCCATAAATGTAATTTTCGGTCTTTCATTTATAAATGCTCATACAAGAAGAATTTGTACTGGCTCAAATTCATTTTCTTTCAAGACTGTTAACCAAAGTTTTGAATAACTAGAATACCACATGAGCACTGAATTTACAGAGATAAAAAAACTGGAAGACGTCATTTCATCCTCCATTGAGAAGTGCCATTAGCAAGTTTAATGCACGTGAAACATTATTGGCACTGCACAAAATATTAATTTTGTAGAACCTGCTGAAGCCTACCGCCTTCTCATTCGAGGTACTGCAGACAGCAACTTGTACTCCTTTTGCTAGAGCTTGATCAATGAGCCTGCGCAATTGGTGAGTCTCTCAGCAGCATGACATCTGGAGAATCTATATATGTGAAGTCATGCTTATCAGGTTCTAACGAGGTGCATTGGAAGTGTACACATTCTTACAGTGGAATTTAGACATTTGGATGTGGATGCTAATTAATCTTATACATCAAATTTACAATTGCCAACAAAGAGCACATATCTGTAGTCATTCTTTATCGACAGGATCTTGCACAAGAACAGTATTCCGGAAACTAAAAAGGGTATGCTATGCTTAGCATCTGAACTTTGGGCCAGGATAAACTACAACTTTAAGAAAAAGCTAACAGAAGTTCATCTTCAAGTCTTGTAAGTTGTTCATTGCAATTCTTAGATCCATAGGGCATCCAAAGAGAGAGACGTTGTAACTATTCACTTCTCATCAGTGTGGAAGTAAACATAGCGAAAGCAGTCTGGTCAGAAGGCGAAATGGATGGGAGATGACCTCAACCAATCAAAAGAGCAAAAACTGTGCAAGCAGAAGAACTGGCATAAAAATAGACTTTTTTTTTGGCCAAAGCATAAAAATAAAGAAACTGAAAAGGGATCATGACAACGAACTTTGCAACTCCAGGTCGTAGGGGCAGCAATTTCTTTTCAATAAGGGCCATGAACAACTCTGTCTTTCGCTTGTGAAGAGAAGCAATGAATTCCTTCCTCTCCTCTTCACTCTTTGGGGCTTTTTCAGGCCACCCTGTCTTATTGAAATACGCTGTCATCCTGCAAACATATGCCTAGTTAAATATCAGTTTAACATTCTTCCCCTCTTGAGCTTAAACCACTTTGTTCACCTTCTTCTTCTCAAATTTAGAGAACCGCTTCAATGGATCTATACAGGCCTACACAATTTAACCTCAGAATTCATGGAAAATATCGACGAGATACCTTTCTTTTCCTCCTCCGATTTTCAAAAGTTCTCCATACAAATCTACATCCCAGGTGACGCCCAATTCTTTCTGAGAAAATTATGATCAACCGGATGTTAGTGTCCATGCACGAAAATCATCGAGCCATAGTTATGAGGCATAAATGAAAATTTCAACAGAATTACTTCCTCTGTTCGCATCAAGAACCACCTAACCTACATTGCAGCTAACCACCATAGTTTTCACATCCCACTACAAGGAATGGGTTCATTAACAAAAGTTTTTACAAGAAATACGAAAACATGATCCAGTGTCTTGATTGATTTCTCTCTAAAGATTAAAGCTTCTCGGTAAACACAGGGATAAGAAATTATAAGCAAACACTCAACTTCAGAGCAGACGATGTCGAGCCCACTGTTCCAGCCTCGCTAAAATGTTTCGGTCGGATATCTTAAACGAATCAAATGAGGCAATTCATCAAGTTTCCCGATTACTAAGAAAACTCGCGTTCCTCGTGCTTTTAACATCTTTCGCCAGTTGCCACCACGAAGTCTCTAGTCTAATCGGGAAAAAATCCCAGAATGCGAAAGAAGCTATAGATTATCTTACAATGCCGAGGCCATTCTGTTCCATACCAACGTACCCAATACCAGAGCTATAGCTACAAGACTACGAACCAGAACGAGGAAGGAAGTAGGAAGAGAAAGCGGGGAATGCGGAAACTTCACTTCTTGAAAAGTATCATTGAAGGAGATCCGGTGGCCGTCCTTCTCGGTATCCACGAGCACCCCGTCGCAGTCAAAGAGAAGAGCCGACGGCAGAGCCGAAGGCGGCGAGGACGACGATGCGGCGGCAGAGCAAGTGACGACACTCGTCCTCCCGCGGGAGTCTCCGACGGCCAATCTTATCATCAGTTTCGGCGGGCAAGTGCGCCCTCCTCTCGCGCGCGAGCTCGGACGAGGCCGCGGGACCTGGGGAAGCGGGAGGCGAGCGTGGGTCGAAAGGGTCGCGCCGGAGAGCAGCGTTGACGTTGAAGAGAGCGTGGCGATCGCCATTGGAAGGGCCTCTGTAGAGCTTTTCTTCCTCCTCGGTGACGCGAAGCCGCTGCGTGCCGGGGGAGATCAGTGTGGTGTTCTTGGTTCAACGGTTCGTGGTTGGTTGTCCGTTTTGGAAGTTAATCCAACCAGAGACCACACATAGCTCCAAGGGTGCGCACCGCGCATACCAGCGCCATGTAATCTTTTAGTGAAGGGACGGGGACACAGGTAGTTAAGGGTGATCGGTTCCCGGTCCGATTCAGTTTCAAGATGGAACCGGGAACCTGATCGAGAGAACCGATTCTCAATTTTGGGAACTGCGGACTGGATCAGTTGGTTCTAGGACCGGGAACCGGACCGACCGCCGGTTCGGTCCGGTTCCGGTTCTGGTCCAATAAAATCGGTCACTTAGAGTTTAGAAATTTTTTTTTTTGTTAAACACTTAAGGTTTGGTTCACATTTTACTAATTTTTGTCAATGAATCTATGTCAATGAAGTTCACTTAGGGTTTAATTCACATTTTACTAATTTTTATTAATGAATTTATGATAATGAAGTTCACTTAGAGTTTAGTTCACATTTTATTAATTTTGTTAAAGAAAAAATTAACAAAAATATATATTAAATAGTCGGTCCGGTCCGATCCGGTTCCCCCTTGGAACCGGGAACCGGACCGCCCGGAAACCGGTTCCGCTTTTAGGAACCGGGAACCAGATCGATAGTCCCGAGAACCGAACCAAACCCGTCGGTCCGGTCCCGATTTGGGCGGTCCAAGTTGCTCACCCCTACAGGTAGTATGTGAACTTTAATCCAATATACATCGTCGCCTCCGTATTTTTAATTTATTCAATATGGTTATTTTTTTGGTCATTGTTGTCCTTCCATTAATTCCAGTTAAATGATAATATTGAACATTTTCATAAAGTCTAGAAACTAGATTGAATATATACCAAAAGTTTAAGGACCATATTGAACAAATTGAAAGTTTGGGGACAACATTGCATATTAAGTTAAAGTTCGGAAATCACGTTGCATAATGGATCAAAGTTAAAGGATTTGTGTTATTTTCCCTTTAGTGAATTGTCTTGGTCAGTGTTGAGGACATTTCTTTAACGAAAAATGACTCAAGTGGTTTCGAAGCCTTGGTCTAATATGCTTTGTCGTCTCTGGACTTTTAAATTAATAAATGTTCGATCTAGTTAATTCAAACTAAAGGAATATGTGGCTTCCAATCCGTTAAGTTTGAGCCACGGGCAACAATAATAAAAAAAATCACACTTAGATTATCTAATTATAATATCTATTTCAAATCAGGATATAATAATCTATGTCAAAAACAAATCCACATCATTAAAAGAAACATCTAATTTGTCATTCGAGTAAACGGAAGGACTACATTGTCTGTTGGTATTGCATGGGAAGCTAAAGTTTGATGATCATTTCTATCATTTTCTCTTTCTTTATTATTGAGTACAGTCCGATAATAAAGACGTGATCGGTCTTTGTTATGATCCAAAGAATCACAAAGCTGTCGATCAGGTCAGCTCGGCCCATAAACTCATCAGCTCATCGAACTCCAAGACGAACGGGGGCACCGCCTGAGGCCCAAGCCTGCTCGAGCTGCAAAAAGACGAGAATGGCACGCCGCTTCCATTCGATTTTGCGAGCGAGTTATGACGCTTTTGTCGATAAGAGTGCGTTTGGTAACCATTTTGTACCCAGAAATAATTTTTGCTCAGAAATAAATTTTTTTTATTTTGTTATCGGAAACAATTTCTAAGCATTTGAAGGTGTTTGGTAACAAACCAAATTTTCCATTCTTGGAATAGAAAAAGAACAGAATTGCGTTGATAACTACACAAAATTTCTTCTTATTAATAATATGTTTAAAATTTTTAATATTTCTTTTCTTCTTTTCCTTGGCCGTGGCCGGTTGGCTGGCAACAGGAGAGGGTGAGGGCCGCCCTCGCCCAAGCCGCGAGCCTCGATGGTTGCCCTCGCCCTCCTCAGCGAGGGCTGGAAAAGGCCAGCGACGGCAGCTCCCGCCCAGGCCATGAGCCTTGAGGGCGGCCCTCGTCGGCTCGGGTGAGGGCTGGAAAAGGCCGACGAGGGCAGCCCTCGCCCAAATTGCGAGGGTCCAGCCCTCGCCCTCGCTGGCCATCGGCCATAGGCCAGGAAAGAAGGAGAATTGGCCACAGCCAAGAAGGAAAGAAGAAAAAGAAAAAAAAATTTCTCTTCTATTTCTGATTCTTATTTCCAGAACTAAGAAGAACCGATTCCGGAACAAATTTGTGTCCGAAAATAAAAAATTTATCAAATAAATTGCTATTCATTTTTTATTTCTGGGAACAAAGGAACGTAATAAGTTACTATTTAGTAAATTACCAAACCCTTCCTAAATAATCAATCATCTTGAAATGCTCTCCAATGTCCATCTCAATCGCATCCGGATCAAAGCTCTTCGAAAGAGCGAGAGAGATGATTTCCGTTGGTCTTCACCTTCTTCCGCCATTCCTCGGCGCCTTCGTCGGCGTTCTTCAAGATGCTCCGGCTCCTGACCGTCGTCTCGGAGCGAGCCCCCGGTGATCATGGACGGCGGCGGCGGCGGCGGCGACGACGAGTTTCGTCCGCCTGCCGATACCGCGGAGCATGCTTCCCCGGAGGTGAGTCGATTGTCCATTTTCCGACCACGTTGTCGCCCCGGAATTGTAGGCGTAGTGCTAGAGATGTCGGCTTGCCTGTGCTTTTCTTGGAAGGAGCTTGATCTTGAAATTGCTTCGGATTGCTACTCTTCGTTTCTTGCTGCGCCTGCGCTTTGTCGTCCATATGAACTGGCGGCTTCAAACGTCAAAAACAGCTGATGTGTTTTATCCACCTGTCTGCTTTTATGGTTGAGTTTATGTGTTTTTTGGTTCCTTTAGTTCAAGAAAGCTGTGCTTTGCAGCTGAGGTCATGGTTTAGTAGTTTGGTGTTCTGACGAGCGCTTGTTTGATTTTTTTGGGATTTTCTTTTTGTCTATTACATTGGATTCGTTAGCATGAGGAGAGGAACGAGGATCCGGAGGACATGATCGGTGAACTGCCGCATGAAATTCTTGTCTCCATTTTGTCCCTTCTGACCTTGAAGGAAGCTGTGAGAACTAGCGTTCTTTCTCGGAGATGGAAAAAGTTGTGGAGTTACACGGCGGGCAGCTTGGAATTTGAAGATTCGAAGACCATGCACGGCATCTTGCGTAACACGAAATCTTTGAGGGTGGAAAGGTTCAAGTTCATTGGATGGGTGAATCGGGTGCTGGACTCGCATCAAGGTTCAAGTATTCGTGAGCTTAGGGTGCGTTTCGATTTGAATAATCGCTCGAGGCGTTATGTAGATGAGTGGGTTGCAGCAGCATTGGCAAAGAGAGTTCAGAATTTGGAGCTGGACTTTTCACCCTTTCTCAAAGGGAACCATCCTACATGGTACACGTTTCCCAGCAAGTTCATTTTTCCAAACACCAGATGCCGTTTGGACTTGTCTTGCCTGAGGTCTCTGTGCCTGAAGTTCGTTAATGTTACGGATGAGATTTTGGAGTGCATCCTCAGCAGTTGTCCTTTTCTTGAGCGGTTGGTTATAGTAGGCTCGGAGCTTCTTTCAAATATAAAAGTTGCAGGCTCCTCTCTGTCTCTGAAGCACTTGTTTATATATTCTAATAACTTTACAAACTTTGAAGTTTCTGCGCCGAATTTGGTATCACTTGGTTATCACAATGATTCAAAACGAGCACCACAAGTGCTCATCGAGAATGCTCCTCTGCTAACTAGTGTTTATCTTGGTGCTCTTTATGATCCTATTAGTATTTATCTACATCCTCTTTGGAGCTCTTTGCATCAACTGGGAGCTCTTCACTTACACATGAATCTCTTCAAGGTGGTTTTTGTGGTTCCTGTTCAGATCTTGCTTTAAAGTTCTTTACGTTCTTGATAATTGTAATGTGCTGATCTTTCAGGATGGTCTAGAGATACCGCAATTTCCACTGTTATTTAACCTCAGGCATCTCACGTGGATAGTTCACACATCTGATACAGCAAGTCTCCTCGGTTTAACTTCTCTTGTAGAGGCAGCGCCATTCTTGCGTTATTTTGAACTCAAGGTAGATATTTCATTTTGTTGATGCAATGCGGGTGCTGCTTCATGTTGCATCTCTGCAGTTTGTTTCCCTGTTTCCAAGATAATAGTCTAAATATATGGGCTTCAGTTATGATCCCAGATATCTAATTCACTGTGGTGATATTTTTGATTGTTTCTGATTCTATCACTTTTCCTCGTGTCTTATCAAGACCGGTACTTCTTTTATATACTGCATTTTCTGGCAATTACTATTTCTGTAGTGAAATAATGTTTGCACCTGGTATTTCATGATTCTCAATTTGATGTATCTACAAGCATCTATAGATTTTCATCTAAAATGGTCACTCAATATGAGATTCATGTCGATCCGTCTTCATTCCTTAGTTGTCAAGACTGTGTAGCTGCTCAGTCATTGTGCAACACACAGAAAACTCTGTTTGTGACCCACATAATTGTGGAATATGGGCAATGTTATCGATTGGCCGAGTCTGGCGTGTTGTGAACTTGTATGAAGAAATAGGGAATTGCTACTTTAGGCATGGATTGTTAAGACATTTGCAAATTCACAACTTACTGTGCTAGCCTGGCTGATCCGGGGTAGGCTGAACTCATTGTTTATGGGAGGCCCATAAAATGGTTTGGCCACAAAAATTTGTTGTCTCAGTTAATAGTAATGGTTGATGTGGTATTTTGAGCTTAATGTTCATGGCTGACGCTAGATGATATTCTTACTCGATTAAAGATCGTTCAATTGAATTTGCCAAGCTGAACCATATGGACCTGAATTTTGTCCTACCTGTAGCTGTAGGCTGTTCTACCGCCAAGTAGACAGCAAAAAATAGTAAAACATGTAAGCATCAATGATGGCTATCCCGGAAGAAATTCCCGAGCAACTGTTGTTTGTATGATTGTCAAAGTATCTCATTTATGTCCTAGTCACATTAGGTGCTCGTATTATCACAAAGTTTCTTTTTGGCATAGCTTTGTTCTGGCGCTCTCAAGTGGTACACGGCGCTTGCTCTGATTCATATTGCATGTTGCAAAATGGGTATATGCTATAATTTCATTGCAGTTGGAGTGGACAGAACCATGGAGACGAAGGAATGCAAAAAAGGTGAATGCAACTCCGAATCGATATCTCAAGGTGTTGAAAATACTTGGCTTTAGGGGGTATGCAGTTGATTCGGAGATCATCTCATATCTGCTTGAAAGGGCCACAATGCTCGAGGAGATTGTTGTTGTACCTCGTGCTGATTTAACAGAGGGAACTCCCATGGAGGAGGAACAAGCTGCAAGAACAATGGCTGAGCAGTTGAAACCCAAACTACCTCATGCAGCTAAATTGATAATTTTGTGATCGGTTAAGATCATGGTGTACATTTGGATCGACTGTCCTTTGCAATCTAGTGACTGAGTGGGCGATGGGTCCCATAATGTCTATAATTGTTTTCCCTTGTACCAAATCAGTCTTGTGAACCATGTCCGTACTCACACTGTCTCGCATTGCCTCTAATTGCTTCAACATCGAACTTTACAGATGGTTGTCATACTGGTCTTACTGCAGTTTCTTCTAGATTCTGCACTTTTGCTTGCTAGTTAAATCTATCACTGCGCATGTAATGTGGAAATATACATGCCATCGTGCTTCATTTGCAATACATAGTTCTGCAAGATGGAGAATTGAATTGGTGAAACTGCCTGCTTCTGAGTTCTGGCGATAGTAGATGAATGTGAACACGTTCCTGTTTGGACATCTGTTTACTCTTGTCAAATTCTGAAATGCCGTCTTTATTGCCTTGGCCCTGTTACAGAACTGGTTTCTTGCCCACATTTAAGTTTCATATGGGGGTACTAGAAATCTGTTCTTCGAAAGGACCAAGTCGAGGTGTCGATGATTCACACTATCCAATGGGAAAATGCCCATCCAATTACAGTAGTAAAGTCAAGATTTGTGCTGAAAATGAAGCATATGAAATTTGGTTTCGAGAGGTGAAGGTAACTTTGTGAGCCACATAATCGAGCCGTCAAGTGAAATTCGATGTCACAATGTCAACAAGAGCAACTGCAACAGTTGTTATTGCCCGGGGCTTCTTCCCTCTCTTAAAAATGCACAATGATTTTGTCACCTTATCATTATTGTATTATTTTTTTTGCAGCTGATGTCATGGATAAAGACATCGCCAAAATACATAGTGATCTGAAATCCACGTGTGTCCGCAATTTTCCACAGCTTTTAAGGAGAAGTCATTTGTGGACGGTACCATACATTCATAAACCTCTCAACGAAGCTTTTATACAATAAATCGTGATATGTACCTCTACGTATATACATATAGGCACATAGAATTCATATCGTGGCAAAGTTTCATTGATTTTTGTCGAGCCAAGCTTTTGCTCCAACGATGAATTACGCCATTCGGCATAACCCCATCTCTGATCCGAAGAAAAGCCATGCACAAAGGCGTCAGAAAGAATACAAGTCGCAAAAGACAGGGGAGCCCAACTCCAATTCCAACTACAGAAAACCTTGAATGTTCTTTCTTTTCTTTTTTAAGCCTACATACAACTTGAACTCGAGGGTTCAATCTTTGCAAAGTTGCAGTCGCCATTTTCGTCCCGCTATAACCGTGCCGATTATCCACAACGGAAAACGCCGAAAATTGACGCAAAAAGATGCTCTCGTCAACCAAGAAAAAGAAAATGAAAAATCGAAAGGAAGTGGCAAAAGAAATTTGTAATAATTTGGGGAAACCACCGTCGCTGCTGAATATAAAACACGCCCCCACTCACTCCTCTCTCACTCCCCCCCGCTCTCTTCCCCCAGTTTTGCCCTCTTCTTTCTCTCTGCCCCTGCCTCTCCTCTGCCCTCGACTTTCACCATTCTTTCTTTCCTCTGCATTAAAAACAGAGGAATACGCATAAAACCCAGAAACTTTTTTGCAAAGAATATGTAGCGTAGAATCTGAAATCGCTTCTGGTCTTTCTCTCGCTTTCCTTCCTCCCGTTTAGTCTGCAATGGAGGTCCTGTGGTAAACCCACCAAAGAATAAAACGAGAGAGAAAGAATCCGAAGGCCAACAAGAGGAAACCCCCTTTTGTTTGTTCTATGGCAGCAGCAACAGAGCCGTCGCAAGAGGTCTTCTCATGGCTCAAGAACCTGCCCTCAGCCCCAGAGTATCACCCCACGCTCGCCGAATTTCAAGATCCAATAGCTTACATTTTCAAGATTGAGAAAGAAGCCTCCAAGTACGGTATCTGCAAGATTGTGCCCCCTGTGCCTCCCGCTCCGAAGAAATCAGCCATTACCAATCTTAACCGCTCTCTCGCTTCTCGCGCTTCGAGTTCCGAGCGAGCTAATTCCAAATCTTCACCCACATTCACTACCCGGCAGCAGCAGATCGGCTTCTGCCCTCGGAAGCCGTGCCCTGTCAAGAAACCCGTGTGGCAGAGCGGAGGGAACTACACTTTCCAAGAATTTGAAGCCAAGGCCAAGAGCTTCGAGAAGGGTTACTTGAAGAAATGTAGCAAGAAGGGGTCTCCTTCCGCTCTCGAAATCGAGACCCTTTACTGGAAGGCGGCTGTGGACAAACCCTTTTCGGTGGAGTATGCAAATGATATACCCGGTTCGGCTTTTCCGCCATCAAGTTCAAAGAAGGGGAGGGAGACAGGGGAAGGTGTGGTGACTGTTGGGGAGACCAATTGGAACATGAGAGTGGTCTCCAGGTCGAAAGGGTCGCTACTGAGGTTTATGAAGGAGGAGATACCGGGAGTCACTTCACCTATGGTTTATGTGGCTATGATGTTTAGCTGGTTTGCTTGGCATGTGGAGGACCATGACTTGCATAGCCTGAATTACATGCATATGGGGGCTGGGAAGACTTGGTATGGTGTGCCAAGAGATGCAGCTGTTGCATTTGAGGAGGTTGTCAGAGTTCAGGGGTATGGAGGAGAGGTCAATCCACTTAGTGAGTCCATCTTCAGGCCTGAATCTTGAGTGTCCCCTGTTTTTGTCATGGCTTTACATTTTCACCGGATGTTTGAATGGCTGCATCACTTTCTATCAGTTGTTTGGTTGTTGATAGGCTAGTTATATCTTTTCGGACTGCCATATCATCTCTCCCTCTTCCTCTCTCTCTCTCTCTCTCTCTCTCTCTCTCTCTCTCTCTCTCTCTCTCTCTCTCTCTCTCTCTCTATATGCTGGTGTTGGTTCCGTCATGTGATTTTCTGGTTAGAGGAGAGGTTAATTCTTTTAAATAGGATTTGTTGCATTGTAATCTCTAATGCTCTGATAAAAAACCGTGGGAACAAGTGAGGGTTTGGGATTTTGACCTTCATGTTTAAAATAACTATTGAGGAGCTAGGGGATGATAGGAATGCAGATCCATGAGGTTTGTCGGTTGTTGGAATTTGTTCCTTTGTGCGGTGTAGTTTAGCAAGGATGCAATAGTGAGATGTAACGTGGATCTGTTAATGAAGTAAGCGAACAGAGTTGATTAAAAATAGCAAGGATAATAAAGACGGGAAAACAAAATGTCGGTTTCTGATCTCTGGAGGTTTGGTTTTTGCTGGGGAGTTCAAAACCATCTTGGGATTTGTTGACTGTCATAGGACGTTGTTGTTAACCCGTTCCTTTTGTGTTTTGTCTCACTTTGACTAGGAGTGAAGAATGATATTGGATATACTAGGTCATTCACTTAGGATTCAGGAATGGATCAATCAGGTTTACTGACATGGAGAACATATGCACACTTTATCTTGTCTCTTAAGCCTGCCATGCAAAGGATAACATCATGAGTCTTCGAATGATTGTGCATCGTCTCATCAATTTCATCATTATTTTCTGGTTTTATTTCTGATTCAACCTTTCTTGCTCAACAGTGACACGATTTCTGTAACAAAGCAGTAGGTTCTAAGTATAATATGACGACTGAGTTTACGTTCCTTTGAAACATAATTAAATTTTTGTTGTCATGGTCTTATCAGTTACATTTGCCATTCTTGGTGAGAAGACCACAGTAATGTCTCCAGAAGTGCTTGTGGGGGCAGGAGTTCCATGTTGCAGGTGACCTCTGGCTCATTTTAGAGTGCTAATTTTCTTTGACTAACTGACTTTGCTCCTAGCTAAGAAATACTGGACATCTCTGCTAGAATTAATCGTGCTATTAATTGTTTGCCGCTCAATAATATTGTGATTTATGTATTGCTGAGATAGATACTTGAGTAGTTATTCCTGAAGTATATCTTCTGTTAGGCCTTTTCACCTTCATAAAGAAAATAGTTAATGATTTCTTTTTTTCCTTGATCAGATTGGTGCAAAACGCTGGAGAATTTGTTGTCACTTTCCCTAGAGCCTACCATTTGGGGTTTAGTCATGGTGAGGCAGCTTGTTTATGTGACGACTTCTGATTGGAAACAACTATCTCGTGTTCGCAATGGTCATGATTGTCATTTTTTGTATCTTTCCAGGATTTAATTGTGGAGAGGCAGCTAATATTGCCACTCCTGAGTGGCTGCTAATTGCAAAGGAGGCCGCCATTCGAAGAGCTTCAATTAATTATCCTCCCATGGTGTCACATTTTCAGTTACTTTATGACCTGGCTTTAGCATTTTGCTCAAGGTTGACCCAACACTGTGTCGCATCTTATCAGTGCTATTCTTCCATTAATACTTACCTATGTTTGCTCAGATTTAAAATTTTTTACTTATCTGGAATTAAACTCACTCTGCAGTAGATTAGATAAAATATTCTTTGAGGACTATAAGGAGTTTGAAGTTCCATTGTTTGTTGATCAGGCCTACATGCATGAATACTGGGCCACGCAGTTCTAGATTGAAAGATAAGAAAAAGGGTGAAGGAGAGTCCATGGTCAAAGAGCAGTTTGTACAGAATTGTATCGAGAACAATAAACTGCTCCATATTCTTGGAAAAGATTCTACCGTCGTACGTCTTCCTGAAAGTTCTTCAGACATTTCTGTATGTTCAAACCTACGAGTTGGATCCCATTTGAGGGTGAATCGCAGCTTGTCCGTGGATACTATGACGTCTCATGGAGGACTGGTGTCTGATAATCTTATTGCAGATAGAAAACAGAGCATTGATTTAGTAGAGGATTTGTACCCAATGAAAGCGAAATTTGCTTCCTTTTATGAGAGGAAGAGGATTATGTCGATGAACGGAAATGGTGATATTCAACCACCTAGAGATGGTGAAGGAGATAGTAAAGCACAAGGCGATAGGTTGTCAGATCAAAGACTCTTTTCCTGTGTCACGTGTGGAATACTGACCTTTGCTTGTGCTGCCATTGTTCAACCTAGAGAACCAGCTGCTAGGTATCTCATGTCAGCCGATTGTAGCTTCTTCAACGACTGGACTGTTAACTCTGGCGTTCCTACCAATGGCTTAAATGTTGCTGCTGCTGCTGCTGCTGCTGATATAATTGCATATAAAAGAAGACCCCAAGCAGGTAGCATTTCTGAAATTATGTTTCTCGGTGCATTAGTAAAATTCTTTCTTTGGCTTGTGAGTCGTTGGAGATATTTCTCGGCGA